AGTTTGAGTGCGTTAATTTTTTTGTTACTTAGCCATTAATAACGTGTGTTGACATGGCATTGTCATGTCGGTTTCATGTGTTAGATGGCAATGCCACCTCATTTGACAAACCATGTGGCATTGTTGATGTGGATTATAAAATTAAAAAAAAATAAATTTTAGTCACTTAACTTTTTAAGAATTTCTATTCTGGTCACTCAAGTTTAAAAATTTACAATTTAGTCACTAAAAAATAAATCTTTGAATTTTATAAAAAAATATATAAAAAGTTGATAGTTTTATTATATATAATTAAATTATAAATTTTTAATTTTATTATAACTATACCATTTAAATTTGAAAAATGAAAGAATATTATCCACTTGCAAAAATTACTAAAACAACAATATTTCACATTTTTGTCATTCAACCCATCCAAATAAACTCAATTAAGTATTTCATATTTCATAATGTTTAGATTTATTTTTAATTTCATGTAATAAAACATTAAAGGACATATAGATAACAAAATAAAATAAAAATAATTTATTATATTAAATTTTATAAACCATTGGTGATTAAATCATTATAAAGTTATGTTAAGGATAATATTTAAATATTAATAATTTCACAAACAATGGTGACCAAAATGTAAAAATTTAAAATAATTACTTAAATTTATTAAGATTAACTGAACAATAAATATTTGAGATAATAATATATTGTAAATTTGACAATTGATTAATATCTTTCTATTTTTCAAATTCAAATGGTAAATTTATAATAAAATAAAGTATAACTTAATTTCATAAAATAAAAATATTAAATATTCTATTTTTTTTATAAAATTTAATGACTTATTTGAAAATTAGGTTAAGTTAAAATTTCATGTGTTTTTGCATTAGATATACCCTAACCTTATCCAAAAACCCTAGCCTAGCTGAAACTAACCTGAAACCCTAACCTAAAACCCTAACCCTAGCCTAAAATCGAAACCTTAAACCACCTAAACCAAACCTTTAAACCACTTAAATCCTAATTTTAAACCACTTAAACCCTAACACTTGAATATTATCCTAATATATTTTAATAGGTAACATAAATAATAAAATAATTTATTATATTAAATTTCATAAATGTTGGTGATCAACTCATTATAAATTCATAGTAATAATGGGTCATTGATAATGCAAACCAAAATATTAATAAATTTCATATTTCATAATTTTAAGGTTTTTTGGTCACTCAGTTGTTAAAATTTTTTAATTTTGGTATTGGATAATAGTCATCCATTTTTAAAATTTAAATGATATAATTACAATAAAATACAAATTTATAATTTAATTCCATAAATAAAAATATCAATACTTATTTTTCTTTTCTTATAAAAATTAAGGGCTTATTGTTAGTGACTAAATTGTAAATTTTTAAAGTTGAATGACCAGAATATAAATTTTAAAAAGTTAAGTGAATAAAATTGATTTATTTTTTTTAAGTTTTATAATGTTATGTTAGCAATGCCATATGGCTTGTCATATAAGGTGGCAATGCCATGTGGCACCTAAAACTAATGCAGTAAGGCCACGTCAGCATGTCATTAGCCATTAACTGTTGAGTGACCAAAAACTTAACGGACTCAAACTTAAATGACTAAATTAAAAAAAATGATACTTAAGTGACTATTTTAAAAAGGCTCTTAAAGTTGAGTGACCATTTACATATTTTACCCTTGTTTTTATCATATGCCTTTTCCATGAAACCCTAAACCTAAGCCTTAAGCCCTAATCCTAAACCCTAAAGTAAACCTTAAACCCTAAACCAAACCTTAATCCTAAACTCTAAATCTAAATCATAACTCTAAAACCCAAACCAAACTTGAACCAAATCTCAAAACCCTAATCTAGACTTCAAACTAACCTTAAACCCAAAGCCAAACCTAAACCCTAACTAGACCCCTAAATTGATCCAAACCCTAAACCTACCCCAAACCCTAAAAACCCGAACCAACCTTCAAACCTAAAAATCCAACCCTTGATCCCATTCATGCATATGCAATTCATTTCACTTTGTTATATATATTCTTAAATTCTCATGCATTTATATTTTGTCAATCATATTCAATTATCATGCATTTATATTATTATTATGTTCATACATACATGCATTGATTTTATAAATAAAGTTTTTTTTTAAAAATTAATTTTAAACAAGATAACATCTCAAGTAAAAAAATAGCCTTCGAAATCTAGCTTAAATATAAATGGACTTTCGATGACTATCATTTATGCTAGGTGTTATCTTAGTTTATGGGGCAATCTAAAAACTTTTAAGTTAGAGATATTTTTGAAGCTTGACCTATATATAAAAAAGTGAATAAGGTATTGCGATACTTAAGACGTTCCCATTTTGATCCAAAAATGAAATGCTTTGTTTTCAAAAGAAAAGAAATTTTTTTTTCAAGTTTTGCGAAAGAAATGAATTAATTTCTAAACATTATAATACGGCCATTTTTATCAAAATCTAAAATAACTTGCAATCAATTAGTACCATCTTTGATCGTGTTGTAGAGATGTTAATCATTTCTCATGTATAACCAAATTTTGGACCTAACTTTGTTTTCATAGACCATAAAAATGTTATTTTATAAAATTTTAAACCCATTTTAAATGTTTAATTAAAAGGATAAAATTTTTTAATGGTCAATCACACATTAAAAAAGATTGGTAGTGACTCTTTATTTTGGTTTTTATTAAAAATGCTTTTTTAAGCCCTCATTTTTTTTATTCCCCATCATCCGATCAAAGAACTCTTTTTAGTCCTAAAACGTCGAGACATATATCAAATAATAACTTTATTGATATAATTTATATAATAAAATTAAGAAATAAATATATATTTTTATATATACAAAAAATGGGGTAGGATAAAGCATCATAAACACCTTTCTATCCCAATCTCACTTTTATAAAAAAACTTAATCCTATCCCAACTCAATTTCAATTTAAAAACATCACCCTCTATTAGATCAATTTGGATTAAACTCGTTGAATACAAATTGTTTTAGCATCTCTATCAAATGGCACATTTGGTTTTAAAATTTATCTAATTAAAAAAATAAAAATGTGAAAAATAAAAAGCCCATTGGAGTGTCATGTAAACATTTCCATTGGCCTCCTTTTTTCACAAAATTAATTTAACTTAAAAAATCATAAAAAAAAAAAAGAAAAAAATTAAAAAAAGGAAAATGAAGCTCATTAGGAGGCAACATGACATTTGATTTGAGCTTAAAATATTAATTTATTAAATTAAGGCATTAAATCATAAATCAATTAAAAATTGAAAAAAAAAAGGAAAGAAAAGAAAAGGGAAAAGAGAGATAATCAAGCTGCCATATGAATATCAAAATAGATATCTATAAATACATATGTATAAATATAAACCATAAATAAGAACTTAATTAATATAATACATATGTATAAATATAAAATTAAATGAATAATAAAATATAGATAATAAAAATATTTATAATCAATAATATCCAATGGGCATCACTAAAAAAATTTTCTAATATAAAAAAATAGTCATCAAATATTAAAAAGGAAAAGAAAAAGAAAAAGTAAATTAAAAAAAAATGACTTGACACTTAACATATTTTGGTTATCAAGTGGATCACACAAAAAAGAATTTAAAATCTTGAAAATATCCATTAAATATATAAAAATAATAGAAAAATTAAAAAAAAATACGTTACATACCTTTGGTATCAAGTAAATCTCATACAAAAAAAAAATTTAAATCCTAAAAATACATATTTACAAAAAAATTGTAAAAATAAAAAGCAAAAGAAAAAAGGCGAAAAAGAAAGATTGGTCTCACTTTTAAAAAAATGGAAAAATTTTTATAAAATATAACAAATTTGAAAAAAACAATAAAAAGTTTTAAAAAATAAAAAAAAAAATTTAACACCAAAAAAAAATTGAGGAATGCTTTGTGGTACCTTAATTAAACTCTATACAAGAATAGAATTTATCTAAGTGATGGATTTAAAAAGAAAAAAGAAAAATATATGCAAGGAAAAAGAAAAAAGAAAGCTTGGTAAAGTGGATCCCACCTAAAAAATTGAAATTTTTAAAGAAATATTTATAAACTTTAAAAAAATCTAAAAAATCTAAAATAAAACTAAAAATTTTAAAAAGAAAAAAGAAAAAAAAAAAAGAAGCATAATAAAGAAGAGGGGAGAATGTCTGTACATTAGTAAAAATTAAAATTTTGATGTGATGTTTAAAACAGGAGAGACTAAACCAAACTTTAAAGACAAAGAGTTGCAATTTACTCTTTATAAAGTTTAAATGGAAATTAATCATTAAGGAAAAGGGCTAATAAATCTTTAAGTTAATGTACCAAAACTTAAAGAAAAAAATGAGCTAGCAATGAGTAAGTGATTTCCCTTTTTACATGCATAATAAGCCCAAAAATTAACTAAGTTTAAGTGATTGTAAAACCTTTTTTACAAAAAAATTTAAATAAACAGTACTGTAAATATTTCATTTTGCCTTAAATTATTTTGTAAGATTCAAATGAATGGAGCTTAATTCTAGATTGTTTTAATTTTGGATCATTATCGGCTTTTTTATACATGATTTTGAGCTTATGAATTCATTGAGTTTAGTTAATTGGATTTCAAGATGTGTTGTTAATTCGAAGCTTATCTCGAGTTTTTTTCAATTCAAATTAGATAAAAGTTAAAATGCTTAAATTATTTTATGTTTTTTTATTTTATTTTTGTTTTTGGTCTTTTTTGTTCATTTATTTCTATTTTTTTGTTTGTTTTTATTTTTATTTAGTTCCTTCTTAAAATTGAAAAAAATGAAAATCAATAAAATTTTGGGAAAATTAGAAGTTGATTTGGATTGTAATTCTTTAGGGAGATGGAATTGTTTTTGTGTAAATCAAGAGTCGATACTGATCCGCTTCTCCATAATAACCAAAACGGCGTTGCTTTGGTTTGCTATAAAAGCTCCTTTCCAAGCCTTTCCTCCTTTATTTGAAAATTTTCTTGTCCTTCTATGGTTGCTTTTCTCCCCCTTCTCTCTACATCAACCGAAAAAATATTCAAACCAAGGTCCCGGCATTGTGTCACCGCCAAAGCAGCTCGTCGCTGTCGGTGACCGGCTGCTTTGGTAACCGTTAAAGCCAAAAAAATGCTTTTTCGAGCATCTTCTTTCTCTTCTTCAGTGTGGCTGACTAGGATTTTTGAGAATTCTTCTAGAAAGTCCTAGATCTAAGCATGAAACCATTGTCCAAAACACCGTACAATCGAGCTGAAACCACCAAGAGCTTCCTAAAAACTTCTTTTCACTCTCTTTGGTTTAAGAACCCTGAAAATACCCTTGAAATCCACTAAGCCCGAAACACTCGAAATTTCAACCTACTGTCAGAAGGTTTTTTTTTTTGTCTGTGAATTGCTTTTTGTTGATTTGTTCTTGTGATAATTGTGTGTTTCTGTGTTCTCGTGTTGTAGCTAATTGCTGGGTTTTGGGTTATTTCAAGGTCGGCTGGGTTCCTTTCTAGGTTTTTGCTGATGAATTCTGGAAATTGTTTGTGTCTGCTACCTTTTGTGTTTGCTCACTGCTTCTTTATGATTGTTTGAAGCTCGAATCTAGGTAATTACTGATTGGTGTTTTGGCCTCTGTTATGGATATCTGAATTGCTTTTCTGTTTGGTTGCAGATTGCTCACTGATTCTTGCTCTTAATTGCTCCCCTTTGGGGCTTGTTGCTGATGGAAATTGCTTTTAAGTTGGGGTTATTACTGTCTTCCGATCCTATGAGGCTAACTGTTGATTGCTTGCCAATGAATTGCTTTCCAATTGCCTTCCAGTCCCTTTTGTGCTTGTATGTGTTTTCAATTATTGCTGCTTCCTATTGCTGATGAATGCTTGCTATTATATAACAATTTAGCACCAAGAACATTCAATTTTTCAATAAAGAAGAAGATGAGATCTACCGAAAGGGAGATACGATTCTAATTTTTTTGCCCTTTCTTCTGTTCTTCGGCTCCTAGTATTTCAATAAATCCCAATCTCGATTCTCCATGAGTCTCAAGTTCAACCTTCCCCAACATATTTCAAACCCGACTCCTTTCTTTTTTTTTTTTTGGTGATTTTCTGTTTTTTTTTTTCCCGAATAAAGAATAAATAAAAAGAAACAAAAAGGAAAATGAAATTCAAATAAAATAAAATACTAAAAAGAAATAAGAAATAGGGTCTTTCACTTAAGGGTCGAAGCCCAAACAAGAATCAAATTAATAGCCGGATTAAGACTAAAAAAAAAAAACCCTTGAAGCCCAATTAATTAACAAAACCCAAAAGCCGATCTCGATGTAACTCAGATTTAAACCGATAAGAACATTAAGCTATAAAGTTTCCAAAAACCAAATAATTTTGCAAAATCACGAAATTTGAACCTTGAAGACGTTTTTGAACGCATTAAAGCATTAACGAGCCAAATTGATGAATATATCTAAACAAAATTAGGTATTTATAGTTATTTGTCTTGCACATTTTCTTTGAAACAAAAAGTGTGCAAAGATAAATATAACAATTTGCTTAGGAAGAGAGCTTTAGTGATCTAAATGAAGTTAAATTTAAAAATATAGTAACATGGATGAAACTAAAGTTTAAAAATGGAACAAATGAAAATACTTTCGTAAAAAATAAAGTTTAAAAGTGGAATAAATGAAAATGACATGGACAAATCCAAAGTCTAAAAATGGACTTGGATAAAATCAATGTCTAAAAATGAAATAAATAAAAATGACTTTAATGAAACCAAAGTCTAAAAATGAAATAAATGAAAACGAATTGGACAAAACCAAAGCTTAAACATGAAATAAATGACAAAAACTTGGATGAAACCAAAGTTTAAAAATGAAATAGATAAAATGATTTGGATGAAACTAAAGTCTAAAAATGAAATGATTGAGACAAAATCACAATTCAAAGATGTAATCAAATAAATAAAAATGACATGGATTAAACTAAAGTCTAAAAATAAAATAAATGAAAATGACCTAGACAAAACCAAAGTCTAAAAATGGAATAAATGAAAAAGACTTGGACGAAACCAAAACTTAAACATGAAATAAATGAAAAAAAAAAAAAACTGAATGAAATCAAAGTCTAAAAATGAAATAGATAAAACTAACTTTGATGAACCAAAGTCTAAAATGAAAGGAACGTGACAAAACCACAGTTTAAATATGCAATGGTTGAGAGAAACCAAATGTTTATGAATAAAACGACTAAGACGAAATAATAAGTCTAAATATACAAGGACTATGAAAAAATCACAAGTCTATGAATGCAACGATTAGGACAAAATCACAAGTCTAAAAATGAAATGATCAAGACAAGAACACAAGTTTATGAGTGCAACGATTAAGGGCAAAACCACAAGTTTAAAAATTCAATGATTAGGATGAATCTATAAGTCTAAAAATACAATGATCGGGATAAAATCACAAGTCTAAAAATGCAAAGATTAGGACAAACTACAAGTCTAAAAATATAATAATCGAGATAAAATCACAAGTCTAAAAATGAAACAAATATTTAAAGTGTTTATTTTTCATTTTTTCAAATTGACTTGGGCTAAACCAAAGTCAAAAAATAAAATGACCCAAATAAAACCACAACTTTAAAATGTAACTTTGCAAACAAATTTTTTTGAACTTTGAAATTCTTTTTCAAAATGATTTAGGGAAAACCAAAATAAAAAAAGACTTGGACAAAGCTAAAGTCGATCATGACATCTAAATTTTTTTCTTTATTGTTCAAACCTTATTGTCCACAAGATACTTCCCAAGTAGTTATAATGCTATTAATAGAATGGCATGATCAATCATGACATTATCATTACTGATGCTAGTGCTAATGCTAATGCCCTTTAAAAGGTAAATGCAATGAATCAAAAAATGATGTAAATGCTCACTAAATTATGAAAATGCAATGAATCAAATAACTACGCAAATATTTATTTTACTGATGTCAACGATCAATTACATGATATTGAAAGCACAAACCCAAAATCATTGTATGAAAATTAGAATATCGTGCATGTATAAAAAAGATCAGGCATACCTATTTAGGTAGTCATCATAAAATTGCGAAAGCGAAACAATCCCAAAATGGCTATGATATTCTTTTTTGCTTTTTTCTTTTTCATAGCGGTTTCTTAATGGGTAGTTATCAAATATAAAAAGTGAAAAAAAGGACCTTAACATGTTATTTAACTAACCCTAGTAACCTTTTCATTAAAGGTTTACTGGGCCAAATACAAACATAACCGTTAAACCACACCAACTTAGTAAGATATGCAAAAGCCTACACTTAGGTGATCATATAAAATTAATTGGGCTTTCATACTTGTCTCATATTAGGACTAAATCTGTCGCTAGTTTTATTAAATTATAATCCCTAATTAATAGTAGCTCACTTACAAACAATTCTAACATTCTCCCACTTGGACAATATTAATTGGGTTGTTTGATTTTAAGAAAGCTTGAAAATAAAACTCTAGGTTGATTTTCTTTATTTTGATGTGGTCACAATTTTTAAAAATAATTTAGCCCTTGAAATGACATTTTAATGATGTTGTCCAATACAACCATCTAATACAGAATCATGGTAGCCTTTATACCATTTATTAACATAAGACCATTCCACAATTACAAGTACCAGAAACTCTATCAACAATGGATCTTTGTGTAGCTATGTAGCAAGAAAATAATACCTAAATGTGATCTCAATGTGTCATTTATATTGTCAGTCCTCTTATCGATTTCTGTAAACTAGCTAATAAATCTCCATGGCATCCAAATGTGCATGTATGTCTCTTTAATATCCTCGATATCACTTGCTAGTATCATTTATGAAACATACCCAAAAGACATTAAAGTAGTCTTTTGTATTTAAGATAGATACCAAATCTTAAGACTTTATAGTGTATATAGCAAATTTTAATTTTTCAAGTGTACATGGACTAACATAATAAATAACAACATAGAATACTAACCAATGATGATCATTATTCAAGCATGGAATCAAATATCACATAAATATTTCATATATAAATATAAAGGTCTAACATAACGATATACTTCCACTAATGAATTACATCAAAAGATTCCAAAATACCCATGTTTACTAAACACTATAAGTCTTAACCCGTTAGTCAAAGGATCAGCAATCATGATGTCAATCTTAATATGTTCGACAACAACTTCACCATTTTTCATAAAATCCTTGACTTTGAGATATTTTATTTTCAAATGTTTAGACCCAATAATGCTCTTGTTGTTTTTAGAAAGTAACACAATAGACTTATTATCACAATAAATCTTTAATGGTCTAGAGATGGAATCAACAATGCGAAGACCTGAAATGAAATTTGTAAGCCAAATTGCTTATGTAATAGTTTCATAGCATGCTACAAACTCAGATTGCTACAAACTCAAATTGCATGGTAGAAGATGCTAAAAGTGTTTGCTTTATACTCTTACAAGACACAACTCTTCCAACCAACATAAAAATATATCCTGATATGGACTTTATGTCATCTTGACAACTAGCAAAGTCAGAATTTGTATACCCAACTATTTTAAGATTGTTCACCCTTTTATGGACCAACATATGGTCTTTGGTCTTTTGCAAGTATCTTATCACCTTTTTAGCAGTAACTCAATGATCCATACCAAGATTAGAAAGATACCTTCTAAAAACTCCAATTGCAAAAGCAATATCTAGCTAGTGCAAACCTATGTATACATGAGATTCCCAACTATACTAGAATATAATATGTTTTTCATAGATTTTTTCTCTAAATCATTCTTTGGGCACTGACTAAGATTAAATCTATCACCTATTACAATAGGTGTATCCCCAACCTTACAGCTCTACATGTTAAACCTACTAAGCACATGATTAATGTAAGACCTTTGCGATAGTCCTAATAGATTTTAAGATCTATCTTTGTTAATTTCAATTCTAATAACAAAATAGGCATCCCCAAGATCTTTAATGTCAAAAGTCTTAACAATAACTACTTAGTTTCATATAACAAACTATTATCATTATAGGCCAACGACATATCATTAATATATAAAACAAGAAAGATATACTTACTCTCACTGATTTTAAGGTATATGCATTGATCAACTTTAATTTTCTCAAAACTAAGAGAAGTAACTACCTCATCAAACTTTAGATACCACTACCTAGAAGCTTATTTAAGGCCATAGATTAACTTTTTAAGCTGACATGCTAAATGCTCATTTTTAGATTCCTGAAATCCTTCAAGCTATACCATATAAACCTTTTCTCTGAGATCACCATTGAAAAAAGCTATTTACACATCCACTGATAAAGTCCCAAGTCAAAATGTGCTACCAAGGCCATAATGATCCTAATGAATCTTTGGAAAACATTGGTGAAAGGTTTCATTATAATCCATTCCTTCCCTTTAAGTAAATCCTTTTGCCACCAATTTAGCTTTGAACCTATCAATTTTTCCCTTAGAATTTTTCTTATTTTTATACACCCATTTATAACCAATAGGTTTACACCTTTTTGGTAGTTCAACAAGCTCTTAAACACCATTATAAGCCATATAATTCATCTCATCCTTTATCCATCCACATACTAAATTACGAACTACTAATAGCTTCACCAAAAGTCATAGGATCAATAACATGACTAATATCATAGTCACTCTCTCCAAGATATACTATATAATCATTAGAGATAATAGGTTTTCTTTATTTGGTAGATCTCTTTAGAGGTATTTCAATCTCATTTTTTTGAACTTGTGGTACATTAACA